AAACGGAAGACATGAAAAGTTCATCAAAAGAAATGGAACAAATTGTCAGAATAGCAAAAATATAAGGGTGGGAAAATTGATTTCTCTGTGCCTGTGTCACCACATGCCTGCATTCTTCCTCCAGGGACCAGTGTTTGTAGCCCACAACAGCAACAGGACAGAGCACTTCACCCCAAGGTCATGGTGTGAGGGGCTGGCCAGCCTCATCAGCCATGTTAAGAATATAGTTAGCCATGTCATCTTCAGTGGGTGCATCTGACACCACCCACGATTCGTTTGCTCCAGTCATCTGCAGGCGACAAATAGGGCAATTCCGATGTCGATCACTCCTATTGGGGAAGTCAAATAAAGAGCGGTTTGTTTTCTTTTTCTTCTTTTTTAAAAAACAGGTTGGAAAAGAAATACATGAACATGGTTTTTAAAAAAGTAGCATAAAAGTATATAGTGAAAAATAGATTTCTCCCTCCCATCCCGATCTTTAGTTCTTATCCCCAAGGGCAACCACCATTACCAGTTTCTTATATAATATATTCTTCTAGAGACAGACTAAGTGTGATCAATTTGTGTGTGTTTACATTACTGCTTTTTTTACTAGTCAGTATGTCTTGTAGGCCATTATGTATCAGTACATGCTCGAGCTATCTAGTCTTTTAAACCTACACTGAATGGGGAGGCCATCATTCATTTAACTAGTCTCCCATAGAAGGACATTAAGTTTTTTCCCTGTCTTTTGCTGCTCCAAACAATGAAATGGAAACATTCGAGATTTAAAATAAAAGACAGCTTTACACGAAGAATAATTTTCCTGATAGAAAAAGAGCTTATATATGATTACTTAAATAAGATTATGTTTTCCAAAGGGATTTTTCTGTCACATGAAACACTATTTTGGAAGTTTCAAAAATACCATATTCGAGCCAACAAGATGTCATGCAGGGAAAATGTTTTTCTCGTCATCTCTCAGTGAAATCTGAGACCAAAGTAATTAAATCATATCAATTGCTCTTTGGCTTTTGTGCAAAAATGAAGAAATCTGTTCCAGAAACTAAATGTGAAAGCTAGAGCTGGCATATATTATTCAGATTCATTTCTGGCTCCTCAGATATTTTATAAGATAAATGTGTGCTCTTCTGTGCACAAAAGCCACAATTTTAAAACAGTCAACTTCTGCTTCTGGCTGACAGGGACAGATTTATCTTTCTACTTAGAACAATTAAAACACAGGACAAAATACATGAAATAATGGTTTTCAATGCTGGGCATCAAATGACACAGGACAACGATCCCTGAGAGATGGAAAACAAGGGCGAGCCCTATACTTGCGCCAGCTTGCTGCCTTGAGTTTCTAGGCTGCAGAGCAAGCCGGAGGAACCTGGATGCAGCATGGTGGCAGGCTCGGGCTCCTGGGGGGAGGCAGAGCTGAGAATCTCGGGAGGCTGAGACAGCTCAAGTCCACAGGGCAGAGCTTTGCAGTGGAGAAAGCAGCACAAAGGGAGAATTCCAGAATCTACCAAAGGTTTCCTAGAGTATATTCAGCAGAATAATGATTCGTGTGTGCATTTGAGGAAACTACTTGAGGCTGAGGATTACCCAAGAGGATTTGAGGGAACAGTTCCCAAAGCTCACACAGGGTGCTAGAATATTGTCTGTTCCCACCAGCCAGACAGGAAAACCTCATAATTTATGGAGCACTGAATAGAATCCTCTGAAGGGTCTTGCCTCATTAGTGGGACATAATTTGCTCTAAACTAAAAAGTGCTCTGGTCCTGCCTAACGAATTGTAAAAGCAAAAGACCTAAAAGGATCAAACTGTTTCCAAGTAACTATATTCCAGAACAAAGCTCAACAATATTTATAGGAATACAAAAATATCCAGTGCCCAAAAAGGTAAAACTCACAATGTCTGGCACCCAATCAAGAACTACCGGGCATAAAAAGAAGCAGAAAAATGCAACCCTAAATGAAGAGAAAAATGAAAGCCAATCCAGAGCTGACACAGATGTTAGAATTAGCAGACAAGAAGATTAGTTTATGATAACCGTATTCCATATATTAAAAACAAAAACAAAAACAAACAAACTAGAGGAATGATCAAACACATTAAGTAGAGACATGGAAAACATTAAAAAACTCAAATTTGTAGAGATGAAAACTATAATATCTGAAGTAAAAAATACACTGGATGGGATTAATGGCAAGTAAGACATATAGAAAAAAAGATTAGTGAGTTTGAAAAGACATAGCAATATTAATTAACCAAAATGAAACACAGAGAGAATGACCCAAAAAGAGAAAAAGAAGGAAAATGGCATCAGTGAGCTGTGGGACAACTTCAAGTGGTCTAACATAGGTATAGCTGCAGTCCCATAAGGAGAGGGGAGAGAACAGAAAAAATATTTGAGAAATAATGGCTGAAACCCTTCTAAAATTGATGACACCATAAACCTACAAATTCAAAGAGCTCAATGAATCCTAAGCACAAGGAACATGAAGAAAACCCACTCTAAGGCACATCATAATCAAATTGGTCAAAACCAGTGATAAAGATAAAAACCTTAAAAACAACCAGAAGGATAAAAACCTACACTTTACCCACACAGGAAAAAATATAAGGACGATAGAGATTTCTCATAGGAAACAATGCAAGAAAAATGAGAATGAAGTAACATCATTAAAGCATTGAAAAAGAAAACACTATCAGTCTAGAATTCTATCTCAAAATAAAAATATCTTTGAAAAATGATGTTTAGACAGTCAAGGAAATCCTATGGAATCTACAAAACAGCTATCAGAATAAATGAGTTTAGTAAGGTTGCAGGATACAAGATTGATACACAAAAATCTACTGTATTTCTTTCTATATATTGGCAAGAAACAATCATAAACTGTAATTTAAAAATATAATTTAAAATAGCCTAAGAAATATAAAGTACTTAGGGATAAATTTGTCAAAGATATGCAACACTGAAAACTACAAAAATTGATAAGAGAAATTCAACAAGACCGAAATAAAAGGAGAAATATATTGTTAAGAAGTCAATACTCTCCAAACTGATCTATTTATTTAATGCAATGCCAATCAAAATCCTTGCAGTTGATTCTAAAACTCATATTGAAATTCAAAAGACCTAGAACAGCCAAAACAACTTGGAAAAAGAAGAAACAAAGTTGGGGGATTAACACACCCCGATTTTAAGACTTATAAAAGCTATGTTAATCAAGGTCATGTGGTATTGGTATGAAACAGAAAAGTAGACCAGTGGAACAGAATAGAATCCAGAGACATACCCACATATATTTGAACAACTGTTTTTCAACAAAGGTAAAGAGGCAATTTAGTGAAGATAGCGTTTTCAACAAAATGTGCTGGAACAACTGAAGTCATGCAAAAAAGCAATTTTGACTCATACCTCACACCACATCCACATGTACTCTTCCATTTGACCTTTGCCTATCCCGTTAAGGCATTGGGTAACTTACCATTTGTCAATGCACTTCTGGCAGAAGCTGTGAGCACAGGGCAGGATGACGTCCGCTCTACCATCCATGCAGATACAGCACTCCTCCTCATCAGTTAGCTGCTTCACCCTGCAGTGTGCAAACTGAGCTGGAGCAGCGATGTTCTTTGCTGTCGTTATACTTTAAACTTTGTTTCCATAGCCTTAAAAGCACTATCAAACATCTCTGTGCCCTTAATATAAAGCAATGACTCATGCAAAATCGGACTAAATCAACACACCTTTTAGGAATAGCACATAGTATAACAGGGAAGAGTACTAAGGGGGACAAATTTCATAAAGAAAGGCAGGAGAAAAGATAAATTCTGCAATGGTTAAAAAGAAAATATGGACAAAAACTGGAAATATTCAGGTCTTTCTGAAAACAACTTGGCCCATTTAAATCATATTGAATTTATATAAATGAATTCAACCAAAGTATCATTGATTCACCATGCAGGATACAAAGCCCTCTGAAATATGGACCTTGCCATCAGGGCCTTACGGATGCTGATAATGGGCATATAAATGAAAGAATAGCTTACTCTTAATAAGTGTCAGGTGCTATAGGAAATACAAAAGACATAGAAAGCAAAGTCTCTGTTCTCAAGGAGCTCTTTCATCTTGGGAAGAAAAGAAATGTCAAATCTACCCTAATCACAATTTAGAGCGCCCTGAATGAGCCCAGTGCCTTTGCATGCCGTGTTTTCCTTTCCTGGATACCCTTGTGAGTTTGGTAAACTTCAACCTCAGTAACTCAGCTCAAATATCATCTCCCTATTCTCAAAGCCCACATTTGCCTCAGTTAAAGGACTTACATTATGTATTTTAAGTGGCTGTTTTTTGGTGGGTCTATCCATAAACTGTAAGCTCTTTGAATTAAGGAGTTTGTCTTAGGTTCTCAATAAGTGTTTCCTGAAGTGATTTTTTTTTTTTTNAAACAAAAAGATATTTACATTACGATTCATAACAGTAGCATAATTACAGTTATAGAGTAGCAACGTAAATAATTTTATGGTTGGGGGTCACCACAACCTGAGGAACTGCATTAAGGGGTCGCAGCATTAGGAAGGTTGAGAACTGCTGGCCTAGAGGGAGGAAAACCAATTAGATCCTTATTTCAGCAATTCCCTTGGGAGGCAATTAGGGCCTGATCTAACAGGCATTACGAAAGACCAATCATCAGGATGTGGTAATAAATTAAACATATGCTTCAGTAATGGGCAAAATAGGGTAGCCACTGAATTGAAATGGGGAAACTGAATGAAAATCTAAATGGATGTGGATCTAATGTATTTAATTTTTTTCTATGTATATTCAGTTCAACATTTAAGTGCCTTTTAGGTGCTACATGCCATGCCCGACCCAGATGAACTGGGATCTCTGCTTTTGAGGAGCTTACAATTTACGTCTAAGGATGTGGACTTGGGCATCAGTAGCAGAGAATACAACTGAACCCACAAAGAGTGACAGAGTTCTGAAGGTCAGAGTTCACAAGTGAGGAGCAGAGGGCTATAAAGAAGAACAGCATTCTGGATAGAGGTAAAAAGAAGAACAGGAGACAGAGATGCAGCTGGTGGAACCTGTACAGTGTTCACTTGATATTTTGCTACCTTTCAAGCAGTGCAGTGACAAGAAGGAAGAAGAGTCTTGCTCTACTTGTCTTTGTTAGACTACTTATAGAGTATTCTGTTCTATGCTCCCTATCCTGAAAGACATATTGACAGATGGAGGGTCATCCAGGAAAGCCTCCAGGACATAGAGAGATTCATAAACAAAGGCAGAAGGAACTGGGGATGCTTATCCAGGAGAACAGAGACTGAGTGAAAATTGGATTATTATTTTCAAATATTAAAAGGCTGGAGAGAACAGACACTTTTGGTGGAATTCCAAAGGGCACTGCCACTGAAATATGCAGACTACAGTAATAAGTTAGTAATAATAATAGTTAACTCTTATAGACATATTATTGGGTTGTTGGAAAAGTCATGACGCATTTTTGCAACGAAAAACATAGAAAAAATATGTCATGACTTTTCCAACAACCCAGTATTATGGGCCTACGTACTGTTCTAAGCATTTTACATATATTAACTCACTTAACTTTTTCAAGAGTCCTATGAAGCAGATACTATTGTTACCGTCCTCTTTTAAAAGATGAGGAAACTGAAGAGAGTCTAATAATTTGTTCAAAGTCACACAGTTAGGAGTATAGCCAGGATCCGAACACAGGCAATTTGGTTCTAGAGTCTGTGTTTGCTGCCTCAGGAAAGCCCGATTTTGGCTACTCTGAGGAATATAATGCAAAAGGGAAAATTTCATAGGAATTAGAGCCATCTGTGTATGAAAAGTCTTGCTTCTCTGAGGCAGTGAGTCCCACATAACTAACTGCAGGTGTTCAAGTATGTACAAGTTGGACTACCACTTGGCTAAATGTAGTAAGTAGTCTTGCTACTCAAAATGTTATCCATGCATTGGCAGCAGTGACATTACCTGGGAGCTTGATAGAATTTCAAGCTCTCCCTCACAACCACTGAATATCAAAGTTTAGGAAGCACTGTAGTACAGGATCTTCATGCACCAAAGAGTAATAACGCAGCTGTTAGGAGCATGGGTGTAATGCCAGAAAGGCTGAAATGTGAATCTTAGCTAGGCCAATTTCTAGCCATATCACTTCTTTATTTAAACCTTAGTTTCTTGTAATCTGAAATGGGCCAATAATTGTATTCTAATCAGGTTGTTGTGAGGATTTAATGAGTTTATACATGTGAAACATTCATCACAATGCCTAATACCTATAAGTACTCAATAAATGTAAACCAATAGAAATATGCATCAGATGTAAGGCTAAACCAGAAAAATATCTCTTAAGATCCCCTTCAACTTGAAAAGTCTGTTTTTCTATGAACCAGTGTATTAGGGTGTAACTAAAAACCAAAAAAACATAGAAAGGCAAGATGCAGCCCTAACCTACCAATCAGTTTCCCAGTCTCGAGGGCACATGAAAAGGGATAACACCCTTACCTCCTTCATTAAGATGATTGAAATAAGAAAAAGTGTTACTCATTTCATTTGCTATCATAGAACTTAAATATACTGGTAAATACTATTCTCAACTTCCAAAATACTTAAAAAAAAAAATCACCACTCTGAAGAGGGAGAGGAAAAAAGGTAGAAAATCAGATGCCTGTTTTTGAAAGATTAACTTAACAAAATACAGGAAAGCCTAAATGCTGCCTATAATGTTTTAAAACTCATTTGGCATTTCAGTAACACTTGTACAGCCCAAGCACAGAAAACCAAACAACCCTATTAAAGATAAACAGGAAATGATAAACGGAAAGTATAGTTTTACTACAACATAGTATTTGGATACCAGTTGGTTAAGAATGGACCAGAAAATATAACTGTAAATGGAGCAATAAAAGAGGAATTCTTGTTAAGCATATTCTTAACTTTAAGGTAAAAGACACTGCTAATACAGATTTCTGCTGTCTACCCAGTATGACAATAAGACAGAATGTCAACATGTCTGGACCCACGTAAGGCTTTTTCCAGTGAGGCATTTACAAAATTTAAATTATGGTCATGGTTGTCAAATGGCAACAGGTGGGAGCTTTCATATCCCAAAAGCATTATAGAGAAGGAAAAGAAAGTTTGGATAGTACAATAACATATTAGGCCTGAGTAAACAAGCACCAGCACAGAAAACTCTAGCTGACTTCATTTCCTTCTGGTATATGCAGTATGTACATCAGTATGTACTTGTTCATCAGTATGTACTTGCTCATTCCTGAGTGGACTGCCAAATTCTGGATCCAGTATTTAAAAATGTAATGCTCCAGTTAGTCAGGTACTTTTAAGGAAAACAAAAATGGTTTTACCAGATTCTTGGACCTAACTCCCTGAAGGGCTTTGAGTATCTAAGAACCTAAATACCTATTATAAGTGGCACATTAACTATAAATCCTTTGTCATTACATACGAGCATGTAGAGTGGAGACTGGATTCATGGAAACGGGGTTGACAGAAATATTACCTGGTGTGAGCCACATTAACTTTTCTTTAATTTGGCACTCTAACAATGTCCTGAGGCACAGAATAATCCAAAAGCTGATCTGGGATATAATATCAATTGAGACAAAAAGTAATGTGATTTACGATGTCACAAGCAGCACCAGCAAAAATACTAATGAGCTTCCAGTAGCTTGCATATTGGAAAATGAAACATGGTACTCATGTATTGTATACCTTCCCATCCAAAGACTAGCCTGACAAGATGTTACAGATGATGAGTTTTCATCAGGGTCTTCAGAGGTGGAGCTCTGGGCTAATACTCCTGCTGCTTGACTTGTGATGTCTTTATAAAGCTGAATAAATTGGTACAAATTCATGATCCGTGATGCTTCCACAATGCCACTGCTTTTGTTAATCTAAAAATACAAAGAAAATGAAAAAACAAAGTTGGTAATTTCTGATCAAATTTTTTCCAAAAAAACGGGAACAAATATTTAGTCAAACACCCTACAAAATAGAAGTTTTCCAGGTTTGCAAACTACCCAACAGGAGAGCAAGAGTCTGAGCAAATGAACAATATCATGTTCCCTACATTTGTGCAGTTCAAAGTACTTAACGCAAATTTACCTCACTTGATATTCACAATAACCCTGTAGGACTGATTAGTCAGCATCCTGTTTAGAGTTGATAAGGTCCTGTTTAGAGTTGATAAGGTCAAGCAACTTCCCAGACTTGAGAAATGAATTTTAGAGATCAGTATTGATAATTCTTTTCATTTTAATTTCTTAAAGACTTTCTTAATTAATGTCTTTATTTGAATCCAACAACCATATGCCGTTCTACTATAACTGAAACAACAGATTGCTTTCTTGAATATCTTAAATTCTATTTTATACTCAAACTTCCAAATGAAAGTGAGAAAATTACATTAAAATAAATCCTAACAAAATGTGGTTTAATTTTTCCCAGAAAGCCATTTTGAGCTACAGCAAAAAACTCATTTAATAGGAAGTGGAACCAGTGGCCTATAGGTTGTATCCAGCCCTGCCCTAGCTTACATTCCTAATGTGAGAAGATATTTGGGGCAAGGGTGATGTAAAAGGTAAGGAGAGAGAATACTGCTTTCATAAGATTTCAGGACTTGTGGGGTATATATTCATTTTTGAAATGACCAAAGCCCTCAGGGTTGAAGAACTTGAAGTAATCATAGATATGTGAGACTTTCTTTCAGCTCAGGAGATGACATGAAGACTGTGGGAACAGAAGCAAGCAATGAAATCTATTGAGTGCATGTCAAAGTAAATGAAACAAACAAAATCAGAAAATACTTAGAAAGAAATGAAGAATGTAGGGAGATACATAGATAGAGGGTCTTAAAATTGTGAATGAAGTAGGTTTTGAAATGCGTTGATAGAACTGGGGATATAAGAAAGTGAAGTAAATGAGGTTACATGTTAAAAAAATAGTAATATTTCCATTTTTGGAATGAAAATAATAATTGTTGTAGCTAACATTTAATAATCATTTACTTCCTCCACAACTAGACTGAAGAACAAAAGGACAGCAACTTGTCTGTTCCCCTTCCCCAATTCCCCAACGCTGTTCCCCTCCTCCAATTCCCCAATAAAATCTATACAAAAAAATAAAATAATAATCACTTACTACTTGAGAAGGCAGTTAGAATAAAACTGAGATAACTAACATTTATTGTCTACTACTTGAGAAGGCAATGAGAGAAAAAACTGAGCATCAAGTATGAGTCCGATTCCATGTTGTAAAAATGGTAAAACCATGGCTGATAATCAGAAAATTAATTAAATTTTGGGAAGGTAAGATCTACATGGAAATGCAAATATGTAATATTCTTTGTAATAAAAGACTATACATGGGGTTGGGAAAAAATAAATAGAATTAAAGGTGATAGGACTTTATAGAGGCTCACAAAATAGGTTGTCAGAGCTGAAGAGACTGAGCCAGTCTTCCTTTGGAACTGCATAGTTCAGAAGAAATTAGGGAATAATTCATATAGACAAAGTTAATCAAACTGCAACTATTAAAATCATAGGATTCATGCAACAAATATTTATTGAACACCCATTATGTGGATGTTACAGCACTATGTGCACTGCTCTAGGCACTGGTGACATAGTGTGTATAACAGACAAAAATTCCTGCCCTCATGGAGGTTACACTATAGGTAGGACAGACAAGATAATACAATACAGATTAGGTAAAATGGAAGTGTTATGGAGATTAAACAGAGGAGATGAAATGCTGAAGGGTTGCAGGGAGGCCCTCACAGAGCTGACATTTAAGAACTGGAAGAGGTGCAAGAATGAATCATATAGGTATTTGGGAGAAAGATCATTCCAGGCTGAGAGAACAGGAAGTGCACTGGCTGCTAGGCAGAAGTGTACCTGGCAAGGAACGCAGGGAGTCCAGCAAAGAGCCCAGTGAGGCTGGAATAGAATGAGAGAGGGAGAAGTGGGAGAAGATGATGTTAGGGGGTAAGGTGGGAACAGAATGTATAGGACTTTGCTGATCAGAGCAATGACTTTGGCTTTTATTCCAAGTGCATGGAAGTCACTGGAGGGTTTGGCGCCAAGGAATAATATGATCTCATTTTACTTTAGATTATGAGTGGAATAGACTGGTGGTTGCGCTGACACTAGGCAGAATGGGGGAAAGGACAGAAGCAAGGAAAATAGTTAGGAGGCTACTGGAATAATCCCCATGAGAGATGATGGTTGCTAGGAATAGGGATGGTGGAACTGGATAGAGTCTGAATATATTTTGAAACCTGACACAGAATTCACTTATGAATGGACTGTGGGGTATAAGAGAAAAAGAGAAGTCAAGGATGACTCCAGGGTTTTGGTCTAAGTAACAAGGCGGATGAAAATAATACAATTCATGAAGCTACCTTAGTCATAATTTTAACTGGTTAATACTTCTAATATTATTCCCATAAAATATTCCATTTAAACAACATTTAGATTATTTTTAATAGTGAATTAAATATTGTTTGAGGATAATCATTATAGTAGATGGCAGTCAAGATGAAGTCTTGCTGTAAACATAGAAGGTTATAGCACAATTGTTTATTAGTTGCTTAAGATTAAGAAATATGAAATTTCAGTCTCCTATCAGTTTTTCATATTGGACTCCAAGTCTTTTTTTCTACTATAAACACTGATTTCTCATAGATTCTTTAAAAAAAAAACAAAACAAACACAAAAAAACCTAAGGACTGCAAATAAAACAGTTCTTTATAGATTTAAAATCAAGAAAATTTACAAAAGATCTGATTGCCTGTATCTTTAATACTTTTGTTTGTCTATTTAGAATCGTTTTTTAAGGAAGATGTTAAATCACACACTGATGTAATGGCTGGAGATACCGAGGTGAAAAGGAATTTAACTAATAGTAATATTTAACATTAATTCTGTGTTTGCCAAGGAGGAGCAAACTAAGGGATCAGAAACCTTATGCATTCATATTTGCACAGCTTTCTACAATTTATACTGGTCTCTTTTATACTGTGAGATGAATACTTTATGAAATAAAGTTGGGGAGATAATGTAATTTAGGTACTTCACTGTATTAATAAACAAGGAAAGCTTCAATCTATCCCAGTCATTTAAAAGGAAGAGTTTTTTATTTCGTCAACAGATTTTTGTTCACTCAATGTATACTGAGTGCCTACCAGCTGCAAAGCACAACAGGCTATAGAGTTACAAGAGTGAATCCAGACAGAGTTCCACCCTCAGTAGCTTACTATCTACTGGGGGAGATAAGAACCTAAATAAGTAATTTTATTCTTTACGTAGAATTTAATTATTAAGTATAAAGTGCTACTGGAGTTTAGAACAGGCAAGAGAATTTCCATTAGGGAAGACTTTATGGATGAGATGGTATTTGGGATGGGACTTTAAAAAGACATCAAGTTTAGACATGCAAAAATGCAAGGTGAGGCAAAAACTACTGGCTGATCACACAAATGCCATTCCCACTTTTCATTGCCAGCCCTAGTTTTTATTTTGGTATCTACAACTCATGACTCAGGAGCTAGTCCTGGTTGGTGTAATCTAACTCAATCATGGTAATCACACCCCTTCTGGGGACCTGAGCTAATATTGACCCAATGAGTTGGGAAGAGGGATCTGCTAGGTCTCTGAATTAACCAATCCAGGAGCTACTTTATATCAGGATCTCTTGATAACTGGAGAAAATACTGTTTTTACTTAAACTAGTGGGAACAGGTTTTCTGTGACTTGCAGCTAATGGCAATTTAAATGACAGAGGAATGGACATTGTAGTTGAGGGAGCTCAATGAGTAGAGAGGTACCGAGGAAACAGCTATACAGCCTTAAATTATTTAAGTATGGGGAGACTATAAAGTATAAAAGGGGATAGTGGTAAATAAAACAAAAAAGATAGTTTGGAGCCATATCGTAGAAGGCCTTGAATGCCAGGTTAAAGAGTTGGGACTATTTTGTAGCCAGTGAAGAACTGTTGAGGAATTCTAAGCAGGCAAGTAATCTGATGAGAGTTGTGCTTTAGAAAGGTTAATCTCACAGCATCATAAATTAGAATCAGTAGATGAGTCAAGTATGGAGATTAATCACTGAATCTAAAGTAATCTGGATGAAAAGAAAGAGGGACTTGAGCTATAGTTACAGTCTCCTTGAGAGCATGGAATTTATCTTATGAATATATTGGAAGTGAAAGCTGGTAAAATGGATGAGATCAGATGGCTGGTTACTGTGGAGAGGGCTAGAAAAGGAGTAAGAATACGTGTTTTTCAGAAACAACCTTTGTCACTAGAGTTCTTATAAATTCACCCATGTATCCTTTGAAGCTGACTGTCAAATAGTCCTGAAAGATTATGTGCAATGTAAGCTGCAGCTGTGCGATGATGCGAGTATGGGAGATATGAGCCTTTCTTAATGACTTTTACATGTTTTTAGCTCCAGTCTTCATTTCTTCTTTACCTTATTCCTTTGCAAAGTCAAAAGTTGCAGATTCCCAGAGTTCTTTTGGGAATGTATTTATTTGTTAATAACTGTTAAAAAAACCCGAATGAATTTACTGTAAATATAATATAAACCCAATAACAGAAACAAAAAAACCCAGAAAACAGCAAGAAATATGTGATTGGTATACAATTTTTGAGCCCAGGAACGGAAATATACATAACAAAACACTGTCTTGGATCAAACTGTCACTATTTCAATGTGTATTCTATTACTATGACTTGTAACACATTATATGCTGTATAAAGTTACACTACCACCCACAGTAAGTAGTACTTTAGTAACTTGTGATGAATAATGCAAAAAAAATAAAAAATCTGAACGATGGTTCTCTGGTAGCTATTATATCACTCTTTAACATTTGGATTTAGAAAAAATAAACTAAGCAAATTTCAATGTGGACAGATCCAGCTGAATGGTATTAAACTATACTATGTATTTTCTCTAAATCGACTGTAAACTTTAACAGGTGCCACTCCAGGCATTTAGCCAAGTCTGGAATTAACAACTATCTTTCATCCTCTAATTCTCTTTATTTATTTTATTTTTATTTTCAATTACAGTTGACATTCAATGTTATTTTATATTAGTTTCAGGTGACCGCTAATCCTCTTTAAAATTCTTTTACTACTTAAATTGATTAGAACTTCTAATTTGATCAACTATCTATAATCAATCCTGCTACACTTAAAACATAGTAGTGGTAGGGCCGGCCGAGTGGCGTGTTGGTGAAGAGCTGGCTTGGGACGCCAGAGGGCCCCGGTTCGGATCCCACATATGAGGGCCAGTGATAGTGCCCTTTACAGCTAAGATGCTGAACAACAGCTCGACCTGGAGCTGGGCTGCTGTGAGTCGGCTGGCGACAGCATAGGCTGCAGCCTCTGCTGCACTGCGTTGCCATGGGCTTCTGTGTGTAGCCAGCAGCCAGCGTGAGCGGCCAGCAGCCGCCGTCAGCGGCCGTCCAGAAGCCGGCGACTGATCTGCCTCGCCCGGGAAGAGCGCAATAATGGTGCCAACTTGGGCCAGTGAAGCAACATCCTCCACAACTAGACTGAAGAACAAAAAGACAGCAACTTGTCTGTTCCCCTTCCCCCAATTCCCCAGTGCTGTTCCCACCCCCCCCCAAAAAAACCCCCAAAAAACAGTAGTGGCAATCAACCTCGTGGGGAAACATGGCCTATTATTTGGGTAACCCTTAGGGTCCATGATACAAAAGAAAATAATCTCCTTACCCGGGAGTTCTTTAGGAGTTGGTCAGGAATGGATTTCAGGGCACTTGTGACTGCCCAATTTATTGTTTATATGTATACGGATGATTTTATTGTTTTAGAGCAGGGGTTGGGATAGGAGGAGGCCTAATAAAATTCATTCCTTCATTTTCACCAAAAGTTCTGTGGCCTCAAAAAGGTTAAGAACCACCTTTTCTAATCTACCCATTGGTGAATGAGGCTTCCTAATACTCTATGACAGCTGCCATTATATTTTTTAGCACAGTTGGTATATTCAATTATCTAAAATTTAAAGCTGAACTAAGAGACACAGTGCATTAATGGTAAAAAATCCATTCTATAACTAAAAATCACAAGACAAAACAGAACAATCAAACCTTTCTAATGGATTTTAAAATTATTATTAAATAAATGAAACACAGTGTTCTTAAAAAAATGATCTCCTAAGATAACTTTAATTTTTAAGTAGTCATCTTAGAGCTAAGTAGGGCATCACCTTAGGATTCCATAGCCAGCTAAATCCAAAAAGAGAAGTAGAAAGTAAGGATGAGTTTACTACCACCTTCCTTAATAATAAATATCTCTGTTATATGGCAATTATACAACTAGTGAGATTCAGTTAACCTGGAAGGCAATAACAGTATCAAAACTATGTCTTACATAATTTTATAAATAAATGTTAATAACCAAATAATAACCAAATTATTAACATTTATTTCCAATATATATTACACTATTAAATATGGTTCTACCCATCAAAATAGTTTAAGCTCTGAACTGGAAGTCTCTGTCACTCTCACCTTGGTGCAGACCACCCGTACAACCACTTTCCAAAAGGCAGAGGAATCAGATCCAGGTTGTACCTCAAAAAGAAGATGTTTCACCTGACCAGAAGCCACTTTAGCAGTTCTGAAAAGAGACAAACACATTTGTTAATTTTATGAAAAGTCATAGAAAATAATGGATCTATGAAACCAGATTCAAGAAACACATTAAAGGACAGAAGGAAATTTGAGGAAAATACAAAGACAAATCATAATGATTGTAATAATTAGATTCTTAAAACATAAGGATAGAGAATGTTTTGATTAAACATACAACTTAATTTTAAAGTCAAGAGCATAGTGGAATATTTATAAATCTTTTTGTCATATCTATGATCTCAATGGTCTTTAAATTTCTAACAAAAAAAATCTATGAAAAACATGTCCAAGGAATCAGGTACTTAAAAGAAAAACTTTAGCTGGTTTCATTTATCCAAATTTTGATTATTGCCTCAGATATGTACATAAAGTGTGAAAAAATCTTGCTCTTGGTTGAGTCCTTATTTAAACAACATACTAACACATTTCTTTGAAAGAAAATTTTTATAGATAATTTGGGTCTGGATCAAGCAAATGATTTTGAGATACTTTAAATACAGCTGTACTGTCTTCCCCTAGCAGAGTAATTTTTAATCTGGAGCCACAGGATTCTAACATAAAAATATAACGCTTTTAGAGGATAATTCAATATCATGACATTAAAGCCAATTTAAATCAGTTCAAAGACATATTTAAGTATTCCTGCTTCCTTCTATCATTACTCACATTTCTCTCCAAGCACCAGTGGGGATATCACACTCAGAACTAAGTGACTAAATTGAGGCCACTGAAAATTAAGCAACTAGCCCTAGGTAACAGTCTGCCAGTGAAAGTAATTCAGCTGTGCCAGTTCCCAGTTCTGTTTTCTAGCTATCAAGCCATGCTTCTGTATAGATTTAACTCTCAGACAGCACTGTGCCCAACTCTGACCCATGAGAATTGGTTTTAAGGGCCAAATCCAGTCAGAAAAGTCCTGTGCTAAATAAATAAAAGGGAGATATTCTTTTCCATCACCTCAGTATTACATAGTAAGCTTAGCTTGTGGATGTTTTCATAGAACACATTTTATTCAGTATTTTTGGGTCAAAAGGCAAAATTTTATATAATAGACTAACTTTATATATTTAAGTTCCAAGATTCTAAAGGGATGGCAAATGTCACTGATTACTCATCATAAGAGTTGAAATGATAAATAAAAAACCACTCTTATGATACTATTAAATTCTCAACCCAATTTCATTCCTTAAGACTATGGTCCCAGAAGTAATGCCTCAACTACTACCATTTGGATGATCTAAAAAAAAAAAAAGAAAAGAAAAAAGTAAAATGGCTAAAGTTTTAAAAACCCATGACTACATTTTTATTATAAAAGATCAGACAATACACAAATATACACAGTAAAATGTAAAATCTCCCTGACTGCCCCCCTTTGCCACCAACTTCCCAGAGACCCAGTATGTATCCTTCTAGTTCATTTTCTATGTATTTACATATATATCCATACAGAATCCATCCATATAGCCATAGTGTTTTTTGTTTGTTTGTTTTTTAAATAAACTAAATCCAGTGGTCTTAAAAGAAATAATCTTCTAAGATAACTTTAACTTTTAGTTCTTTATTCTTCATGACTGGCTAACAACAGTAGGCTCCAGTCGTATCCATAAAAAGACTGTATTTCCTTCTCTTTATCTAATGTATTCCAGATGGCGAAATAAGTTTCTAATCAACCAATACAGCTATCAGAAAGCTTAGGGAGCAGGTTCATGTATCTTACCTTAAACTACTAATAGTGACTATAAGTAAGTTTATATATATAGTAAATGGGTCCAGACTTCTAAGTAATTTTGTTTGGCCTTTTTTGGGTTTAAGGAGAGGTTAAAGTGGGATAGTTAAGGTGGGATAGTGAAAAAAACTTCAGACTTAGGGAGAACTAGATCTGCCATTAATACTTGGGTAATCACTTGGGTAATCATTTTAGGCCTCAGTTAAAATGTCTAACCCTCATCAGAGTGCCTTACACGTACTATGTGCTCTGTGAGTGTTAGCTAAATTGAACAGGCTAAAAGAACCTTTATGATTTAATTTAAAAAACACCATAATTATACACCATAATTATACTATAAGGAGATAGAATATATATATATATATATATATATATATATATATATATGTATATGTATAAGTAGATGTAAGTTCTGCTAGAGAAAGACTTAAGAGAAAGAAGTGACATCTGCTAACCTGTCACTTGGGGGAGAAAACACAAACGAAAAGTATTTTAAATGCATATCAATCTGGGGCTATTTAGGGACAATGAGCCCTGTGTATTTTAATAGCTTACATACAAATTAGAATAAAAATTGATATAATAAAGAATTCACAAACAAAAGACTAAATCAATTCTATTAAATGTGCACATTAAGAAGGTAGAAAAATTTATATTCCATCTTAGACATTAATCTATTCAAGAGTTAAGTAGCGATTTAAAGATGTTAGCTAATTAGAAAATAATAATAAATGCAGTATCTTATTCTTCAGTGATGATAAATGAATTACTATATATGCATTTCTCTGGCAAAATAATGACTCGGTGAACAAACACATTAGATTTACTTATTTATTAACCAGGTGAATTGGTTGAGTTTTGGAAACCCAAGTGCCCTTCAACTATCCTAGGAGCCTTTCTCTAGAATGGCTCAGAGGCATCTTCTCTTCTGTTACATACCCCTTTAATACTTTCAAATAAGAATCAATTTATATGTCTGTGTTCAAAATTTAATTTTGTTTCTTCCGTCTCTTTTGTTCCTATTACATATTTTAAAATAGTCACATACTTTCTTTTTGTTGACAGCTCAGCGGCAGCTCAGCTCGGACTGGGAATCGAACTGGTGACCCTGTTGCTCAGAGCTTGTACTCTTGAGTGAGCTCTTACCAACTGAACCACTTGGCCAGCCCAAAATAGTCACATAGAAAGTCTTATAGTAGGCACTCAATCAATATTTGCTAGCTGCTGCTGAAAACAGTAAGTCTTACCAATCAATATTTCTGGTTACTTCTCAGACAGTCATGACATACATAAGGGGGTAAAAATAAAAACAGCAAGCCTTACACATCATTAAGTTCAGCTACTCTCCCAAGAAATTCTTCATAAGTTAAGGAGCCACTTTCTCGAACCAGTATGACATGTTTTGCTACTTTTTCTGGTAACTTGCTAAGAACCAACTGCGTCTGATCCGAAATTTGTTGTCCCATGATGAAATGATGAAATGATGTCTTTTGAAATCCAGAAAGAGTGCTGCTTCACACAGTTTCTGTCAAATACATAAAAAATTACTTTTATATATAATATAAAATAGCAATATACCCACCCCTCCAAGAAAATAAAGAAAAACAAGGAGTACCTTTAAGTGAGAGTTCAGTAGACTTACATGATCCTAAGGTGGAATTTATTTAAACTGTACCGTATTTTAAAGTAAAGATTTATATTTCAACTTTTTAAGATTACATAGCTAAATAAGAAGACAAGATTCACTTATATTATTGGGAGGGTGATGAACCTCTCATTTCTACAATTTTGCCAAGTCAAAACCCATTTTACACAAACACAAACACACACACACACACAGAGGGAGAGAGGGAGAGAGGGAGAGAGGGAGAGAGGGAGANGATGAACCTCTCATTTCTACAATTTTGCCAAGTCAAAACCCATTTTACACAAACACAAACACACACACACACACAGAGGGAGAGAGGGAGAGAGAGAGAGAGAGAGAGAGAGAGAGAGAGAGAGAGAGAGAGAGAGAGAGAGAGAGAGAGAGAAATGTACCCAGAGGCATTTAAGTGACTGTATCTAATAGGAAGCTTATTTAGCTTTATACAGTTTTCCTCAGAACATGTCTTGACTGCTTACCACATGTCAGACTCCAAGCTAAGGGCCTTCCACATATTATCTCATTTATTTCTTAAAACCCTAAGAGGTAGCCATTACTATATTCCTCTTTTACAGATAAGGAAACAAAGCTAAGTGACTTCTCTAAACAGTTGGTAAGTAGTTTTGGACTCATGTTTTTCAGATTCTAGTGCTCATATTCTTAAGCACTATGATATATTATATGGTATGCAATCATAATATAATTAGATCAGCTAAAAAATTTGTTGAATTACTTTATGAATGTGCAACTTATTTATAATTGTAAAATATATGTAAATTAAACAGATTTTTGGCATGAAAAGCCTAAAGAAATTAAAATGCTAGATACCGGTAATTTAACTACCTCACATTTTCTGCTTTAAAAAAAGAGACAGTTCTTTTGCTGTTTAACTCCTATAAGTGTTTTAAACATAGAATTTATGTAACTTGTTTTCTAAATATAAAGGTGATATTTTAGTTTAAAGGTTGGATTAATCTGTCAATATGGATCAGTAAATTATTGAATTGATTTCAAAATTTAACCACAAAATACTTATTTAGTAACCACTTACTCTAAAGTCTTGAAAAACATAATTCTATGTATCATGGCTAGTGAAGAGTTGGATTTGTTTATGATAGGTAGTTTTTTCCTTTGGTAAATTATGATTTATCGGGATATCAAGCACTAATAATATGATTAAAATAGAAAATAAGATAAATTTTTAGTATTTATCTATGCTGACATACTCTATAACTGAATATGAAAATCCCTGTATAACATGAACAATATTAATAGTAAAAGCAAATATTTGTTAATCACTAAACAATCATTGTGATTAAATATAATCTTCTAAGCACTTTACACGTATGCATGAATCCATTCATTTACATCCCCATTATAACCATTTTATAGATAAAGAAACAGGATAGTTAGGATAGTTAAGGAAACAAGCACAGAGAAGCTAAAGTAACAATCACATAGCTAATAATAGGGTATTTTTTTACAAAGTTAAAAAAAGAAAAAAGCATTACAATTTTTAAAAATCTGATTCTCCCACCTCTAAGAAATTCCATTTTATTTACCTTTCAAAGACTATCATTTTATCTTACCCAAATTAATGCTCATATCATATAAAGCGGGTGAAAGAGTAACAATTTCTTAGGAAATATTTTGCCAGGAAACCTGCTTTATCATTTAATCAAAAAATTAAATAAAGTTATAATTCTAAAATATAAAATATATAACTTGAAAATATAAAAACATTTACAATAAGAATTCTCGTAACCATAAATATATAACATTTTGCTTTGGGTATTAAAATTTAATGCACTGTATTTGAGATTTATTCTTTTGGTCACATTAAATATAGGAAAAGTACAGTTGTACTAAAGAAGAAAAACTCAACAATTACTGCTTTGAATCTGAGCTTACTTGGCAACAATAAATATTATATTACAGAGATAAATGAAAGGAAGTTGTTGAGGAAGATCCAGGCTGCTAAAAAACACATCTCTGAAGGCAAAATTATATATTTCAAATATAGCCAAGTGGATTCATAGCAACTGTAGCCAAAGAGAAACAAAGATCTCAGCTTAGAGGAGGTTTCTAGGGTATTCAACATTAGTGGTTTCTGGATTTCAAAGTAAAATTTCAGAATGCCAAGGTGTTGCACATTTATTTTTATTCTAAGGATAGTTTCCAAAAATAAACAAATAAAAAAAATCCCCCAAAGTAACAAAAAATCTAAAACAATTTATAACCTGAAAAGTAGAAGGTTTTACTAGAATAAAAGTCCGTCCCAAGAAGGCAATAACTTCATACTGACATATACTACATGTATACACATACACTATTGCCCTTATTTTCCTTGTTCTAATCCAAACTTGTGAAAACATCATCAGGAGCCAATGGCTGCAGAATGGTGTTCAGAGACCACTGTGTTACAAGGCCTTTTTAAAAATTAAATTCAAGAAATATTACATACCTGGCACTGTGCTATGTTCTGGGAACACAATAGTGAAAGAAATCTGGTTCTTGTCACCATGGAGCATCTGATACAGTGCAGAAGAGACAATCACCAAGAATATATTGTATAATTACAAAATGAGAAGTGTGAAGCCAAACAAGTAACAGAATGCAATGAAAGCCTATAAATGGGGGACTTGACCTAGTCTTGTGTCAGGGAAGAAGTCCTTGGGCAAACAACATTTGACTTGAGATTAGTCAGTTAGCCGGAGAAGAGGGGTAGAGGCATAGTGAGGCCTGGACATTCCAGGCAGGTCATAGCAAGTGCCTAAAATAGGAAGGAGCATGGTGACTTTGAGGTAATCGAAAAAAGCCAGAGCGGCTACAGCAGAGAGGCAGAGGGGGAGACTGGCACCAAGAGACAGGCTGTTTACCATTTGTATTGACGACCCAAAGACAAGATCACATGCCTGCCCAATCTGTGGATAACTAAAATTTGAATGAATGAAGACTGTCCACTGAATACCAAAACCAAGACTGAAATAGACGCTGATATTCTGAAATGAAATAAATCATATCAAATATAACTAATATTCTGGATATATTTTGAAAAGCCAACTGCCCAAAAAATACATAGGTAAGGTGTGCTTAAAATATAAAAGGTCTGAGGGTTTCAGTCAAAATAAGTCAACAGTAAATATGGACAAGAAATATGTTCAATAATCCTAAACCCTTGCTAAAAGCAGATGTCCAGAGCAAGAGCCTAGTCCCATTGTGTTCTGCAATGGTTAAACGACATTGAAGTTCTGTGATCAGCTCTAAGTCGTCACTTTTAAAGGGCACTAGTCATTTGAAGATTTTGGGGAGAGCATATAAGATGTTATAGAGCTAGTAAAGGAAACAAAGCAACTTATTCTAGATAATCATCGTAACGTGTAGCAACACGATTGGTTTGTTCAAATACTTGAAGAGTTTTCATGTGGAAGAGGAAGTAAGGTTTACTTTATATAGCTACAGAGAACAGAATGGCCAATAAGTGTAAATTAGGCAGGTTTCACATCAATATCAGAAACTTCCTATCATCCATAATTATCCAGAAGTGTTAAGGGCTGTCTTGTAACTTATGTGAGCTTGCATTCATTGAAGTGTGGAGGTGTTTAAATAAAGTTTAGAAGTTCATCTAATGAGTGTTTTAGAGAAGATTTTTGCTCTAGTGAGATGTGGAGCAGGTGACCTCTAACCTAATATTTTACTCTCAACATAAAACTCAAGTTCCCTCTAGATTTCCTGTATCAATCCAACCAAAATACAATAAAAGGTTTTACTCAACCAGACTGAAATCTTTAAATTACACTTACATTATTTAACAGAGAAAAAATTAAACTTCTGAAATATGTAGTCTTAGTAGGACCAAACACGCAGTGATAATTTAATCAATATGCCCACCACATACGAGTATTTAAAAAGAAGCCTTAGTCACTTATTTATTGAATTAAAAAAAAATGGTCCCTTTTGTTTCTGCACTGTTTTGATCTGGTGTCCTAACTTTGAATAATAAGGTTTATAATTTGAGGCAGCACATTAATTTGTTATCCTGTAATTGCATTTGGTATCTGGGAATCCTGACCACTACTAACTCCTCCGATTAAAAGGGAACAAAATCTAGAGATTACCAAAAGAGCCTGGAACAGTAATTCTCAGCTTGGTGCAGTGGAGAGAACCTAGAATTTATGGTTCATTTTGAATACCATAAATAATAAATATTAATGCTATCACTAGCATAAAACTATGACTCTGTGATGTATATGCAATATAAATTCACACCCAAGGGTCAATGTTCACAAAAAATAATCTGTTGAGGCTACCCTCTAGTCACCTACCACAGGTTTTTTAGTGTCCCTCTTTGGTGACTTTGCACATTCTTCTATCATAGCACATATCATCAGCTAGGTCAGGAGTCCGCAAATTGTGGCTCGCGAGCCATATGCAGCTCTTTGGGTACGTTCCATCTCAAAAGTTTGCCGACCCTTGGAAGAGCCAATCCTGTCCCTCACAAAAATTTAAAAATTATTCGAGGGCCGGCCGAGTGGCGCGTTGGTTAAGAGCTGGCTTGGGACGCCAAAGAGCCCCGGTTCGGATCCCACATATGAGGGCCAGTGACACTGCCCTCTACAGCTAAGATGCTGAACAACAACTCAACCTGGAGCTGGGCTGCTGTGAGTCGGCATAGGCTGCAGCCCCTGCTGCAGTGGGTTGCCATGGGCTATTGTGAGTAGCCAGCAGCCAGTGTGAGCGGCCAGCAGCCGCTGTGAGTGGCCAGCAGCCGCTGTGAGTGGCCATCCAGAAGCCAGAGACTGATCTGCCTCACCCAGGAAGAGCGCAATGATGGTGCCAACTTGGGTCAGTGAAGCAATGTCCTCCACAACTAGACTGAAGAACAAAAGGACAGCAACTTTTCTGTTTCCCTTCCCCCAATTCCCTAGCACTGTTCCCATCCCCTAATTCCCCAATAAAAATCTTAAAAAAAGAAAATTATTCGAGAGCCATACATATATTTTTACATAATCACCAATGTGAATAATATCCTTTAAAAATTTTATAAATGAAACTATGATAGTTTTACTTTCATTTTCAATTCTACTTCAGACATGTACCTACCCAAAGAGCCGCAGGTGGCTCGCAAGCCGCAGTTTGCTGACCCCTGGTAGCTCTTCTGTCTCGAGTTTGCCTACCCCTGAGCTAGGTCATTTGACCACGTGCTTTTGTGAGCTTCTGGAAGATAGCAGTTGTGTTCTCTCTTCTGGTAGATACATAAGCACACAATAAATGTTAACAAATGGATACAGAAAATATTGTTGACAGTTTTTTTAAATTATTATTATTCACTTAGTATTCATTTGACTCTCTTTAACCTATCCAATCATTTACTAGTACTAAATTTGAGAGAAGCTGAAGTTAAAAAAAATATATATATGGAAGAAAAAATATAAAATTGTAAAACTGTATCATTCAACTAATGTGTATGTAAATTGAGGGATATTCACTATTTGATATTAGCAAAATACATCCTTCTAGATCATGGAACAGTCGTATTGCGTAGGAATATAATATGCCAACCATTGGCATAGGATTCAGCAAAAGACAAATCTCTGGTCAAGATTTCTCAAAAACCAGCAGCTTTTATACTATTGTGCCACCTATAATTTAATCCTTTCTAACAGGATAATAATGTGCTTTCAAAAAACATTTGAAGGTTTTTTTCTTTTTTTTTAAAAAAGAACAACTGTTATTTTGAAACTCATAAGAATATCAAGGATTCCAAAAATGCCTCATTCTCTAGTGGGTGGTAACATACACTTGATCACTTCTTTTTCTAACAAATGAATTGTTGTAGTTCAAATATTCTTTAGAAAGATATAAAATCACATTATGGGTAATAGGCAAGAAACAAAAACAAAAAAACCAACAACAACCCCCAAACCCAAACCAAAAAACTTCCATGACAATTTAAACCATATTCATTCATAAAATGATGAAAGCGGAAGTTGAAAAGCCTGAAAGTGCAACAAGATGACTAGTTCACAAGTATTTACAAAACCTCTCTGAAACCTGCTCTCCATGAAATTTTTTATCAACTACTTCACTTACAAAAAATGTTTATAATTGAAATAATCAACTGTTTTCATCATGAAGTCAAACTTTATTAACATCAGTAATTAAAAACTAAGTACTAAAAACTAGGTCCCTAAGGATACTATTTTATTACTCATTGTTTACTCAAACTCTAGATCTGTAAGCAGGTAACAGCTGTTCTGCAAGACAAGAAATCAACAGCAGTTATAAAGATACATAGTGAAACAATTAGACCAGACGTAGTCACTATCGAGTCTAGAATGCCTGTTTTCTAAGAAAATATTTTATAGAAAAAACTACAAAAAGATAGATAGTACTTGGAGATTAAGAATACAGATTTCTGTTAGCACCAGTGTGTTTGCTAAATGCATTTCATATTAGAAAAAAATACACCAACTAGATTTATAAGAATCCTCTCTGGACCTCCCCTGCTTTTTTAGGAGAAGGGTAAGGGAAGTGTGTTTAAGTGTTTAGATGTTAACTAAGAAGGATCGGGCTACACACATCAAATATAAAGTTCACTTACACCAAATAACAAAGAATATTTTGTTAATATACCATAATATTCCGGAGGAAAACATTTAGAAACGGCAGCCAGGCAGCATCAAAGGAAAGAAGAAAAATCCATACTACTTTTGAGTTTTGAATTCAGAAAGCATCACTTCTTAGAGCGGGGACTGCCTAATTTAGTATGGTTGGTCCGCGGCACCCTATGCCCCGGATGACATTCTGAATGGATAGATCTCAATTTATAGCAAGAAGAACGGGCGGAGGGGAGTGGAGAAAAATAACTTTATGCAGGTCTCAGAATTGAAAACCACAGGCAGCTTTATAAATACGCCAGAGGAAAGAACTGACACCACTTGGCACCGTGAAATAGGACAGGGTCAGAATATGGACGTACACCGCAATTAAAACAAAGGAGCTGGGGATCAATTTGAATAATAGTAAGTCCACATTTTATAACACGACACAAATTACAGAAGAAATCATTTCCAAAGCTAACCCAGAAGGCTTCTTTTTCAGAAATCATTAGTACAATTATTATTAGCAAGGAAACGCTCTGTCTCATCTGGGTCTTATGGTAGTTGGTTCGACAAGGCAAAGCCTTTGAGAAGGGGGACAGCCTAAACTAATTTAGAAATGGGGGGCGGCAGCTAAGCTAAGTAGATTGACTTGGCCATTTCTCAGTTAGCGTTCCAGGCAGAGGGTTTCTAACCTGGGGTGTCCGGTGCGGCGGGGCGCACAGGGTTTTCAACAGCGCCAGTGTGTTCACTAAACCCTCTGGCCACCCTTGCCGCCTCAGCCCCTTTCTCAAGCGCACTTGGACGTGGAGATTTTAACCAACAGCTACTTCCGCTACCAGACAGACTGCGCCGGCGGCAACATTCAAAAGCGGTTCCGGGCTCGAGGAGGAAAAACTCTCTCCAGGTCCCCCAGATCCACCCACCAAACGGGTCAAGCCGCCTCCCTCCCGTCCCCGCCCCCGCCCGGGCCACTGGGAACCGCTGGGTGTAGCCACTGCAGGGCCTCCCGACCCAGCCCCGCGCCCTGAGTCGAGGCCTAGCTAGGGCGGCGGGGTGAGGCCTGTCTCCCCACTGAAGGCCGGCTCTGCAGCCGAGGCCTGGCTGGTGGTGGTCTATTCCCAGCCTGAGGGTCGTGGAGCAGGTATGAAGGGAAACGACGAAAAGACAGCACTGCGCAGCTCACCTCAGGTTCAAGGCATTGCGCTTCCGGCGGCACCAGCGCCGCCTTAGCCGGCCGCTCAGATCTACAGGCGGCGCCAATAGCTCAGCCCCGCTACCGGGTCGCACCTCCGTGACGCAGAAGCCCTGCCCCCGGCGCGTTGCCTGGAAACGGTGCCCAACCTCCCTCCCCAGCGCTCTGCTCGGCTCTCTGGCGCTGCTTCTCCAGAAGATCTTCGAGGAGGCCCGAGCCCCAGAGGCCATGTGAGAGGGGAAGGTGGCCGCGAAGGCCAAGGAGGGGAGACGTGCCCACGTGGCGGCAGGAGAGGCCTTGCCTGGCAGGCTCCTCCAGGTAGGGACTCCATGGAGTGGCCGTGGGTATGACCTGGCCACCTGCTGCCTCTCCTGGCGCCATCTCCGAGGGGTTGTCGAAGGCCCACCAGGTGACAAAGACCACTTGCAAACCCTGGTTTCGTCAAAGGTTGGATTGCAAGCCACCACTTATTAGGCCTCCAGCCTCCCACCGGTTATCGGTATACAAAGATGATCTGCTTTCTTACCATAAAATGGGGCTGAGTATGCTCACCTAGCTGGATAAGAAGCATCAAAGAGACTATATGGACAGTAATAGCACGGGGACCGAAATGGTAAGCCCTAATAAGTGGCAGCTGTTATTATTATGGACCCATGTGGGCGATATTATGGGTTTGCAGAGAACATCCATAGTCAACAATTTGTTGTGTGCCAAATAAGATACTAAACACTTTACAGGCATTGCTTTTGTTTAAGTAGTTTGCTCAAAGTTATGCAGCCAATAAACAGAGCAATAAACAGTAGAGCAATAAATAGTGGCTGACACGATTGCCTCTATGCTTAGCAGCTAAATTAAACTACTTCTTGTGTTTGTTAATGTTTTCACACCTGTTCTTCCTCAGTCATTTGTAGATTTACCCTGTGAAGAACTAATCCGGCTCTCTAATACTTAATAGATCATGTTTATTGACCATTTACTATGTGCCAAGCCCTGTTCTAAGTATTTTAAAGGCATTAATTCATTTAATCCTCACACCAGTCCTATGAGGTAGTTACTATTAATCCCTTCATTTTACAGATGAAGAAACAGGCTTAGGAAAATCAATTAAGTTTTCCAAGATCAACCAACTAGTAAGGGGCAAAGCCAGATTCGAATCCAAGCCAACTGAACCCTGAGCCTGTGCTTTTAACTCTTGTTCTTAAATTGCCTCAGTAAGATGATAAGACTTCATTAGGACCAGGTTCATGTCTGTTGTGTACTTTTTTTTATACCTCATGGAGAGTGTACTGAGAATTGTCTTCCTGACAACCAGCATAGAGCCTGGAATGCAGTAATTGTTCAATATTTGAACATTTGATGAACATTTGAATGCTGGAAAAACCAAGAGTCTGATAATGAAGTATAAATAATGATTTAGTAAATTCAAAAAAAATTCTAGTTAAATTCAACAAGGTCCTATAGTAGAGCCTACTCGGCCTGGGAGTCAGAAATATTACTTTGTAAAAATTGCCTTCAGTTAAATATAGCATTGGAGATTCTAATCAGTGCAATAAAACAAGACAAATGAATGGCATCCATGTTAGAAATGAAGAAGTAACACTATTTGCAGATAAAAATACTATGGAATACTAAAAAAAAAAAAAAGGCAGCTACTAGAACTAATAAGTAAGTTTAGCAAGGTTGCAGGACACAAAGTCAATATACAAAAATCAATTGTATTTTTATATACTAGCAATGAACAATTAGACATTGAAAATTTTAAAATACCATTTGGTAGCTAAAAAAGAAATACTTAGGAATAAGTTTGAAGATGTGAAACACATATAAACTGAGAATTATAAAATGTGAGAGAAATTAAAGATCTAAATACAGAGCTATATTGTGTTCATGGATTAGAAGATTCAATATTGTTAAGATGTCATTTATCTGAATTGATCTAGATTTAAAGGCAAGTCCAATAACAATCTTAGGTCCCTTTGTGGAAATTATCAAGCTAATTCTAATTTTATATGGAAAACACAGGACCTAGAGTAGCCGAAACTTTGATCAAGAAAAGCAAAGTTGAGGTACTCGCTACTCAGAAGTGAAGAATGCAAAGATGCAAGTGAGGCCGAGGAGAGGTGCTCTAGATGCCCTCCAAATCCTTAGTTATGGGGTATTTGGCTCATCCTGTGCACTCTGCTTGGCTGCTGGAGTTGCTTGTGGCATGTGCCTAGGCTGGGGCCTCTGCGTATGCTTCAGGACGATCCCCAGAAGCTCACTGAGTGAGACAGACTGGAACTAAAACAAGCATTTTAGGAGAGAGTGGGGAGTACAAAATGATTCTTGTGATTCAAAATGACATAAAGATGGGAAAAGGGAAAGTGGCTGCCCAGAGTTCTCATGCTGCTGTTTCTGCCTACAAGCAAATTCAAAGGAGAAACCCTGAATTGCTCAAACAGTGGGAGTACTGTGGGCAACCCAAAGTGGTGGTCAAAGCCCCTGATGAAGAAACTGGTTGAATTACTGACCACGCGAAAATGCTGGGACTGCCTATAAATTTAATCCAAGATACTGGATGTACTCAGATTGCACCAGACTCTCAAACTGTCCTAGGAATTGGGCCAGGACCAGCAGACCTAACTGACAAAGTTACTGGTCACCTAAAATTTTACTAAGTGGAATTTTGTATGATGATGAAACTGTTAAATTTAACAATAAAAGCTGAACTCCCCCCCAACTCAAAATCCCACACCAAAAAAAAAAGTAAAGAAAAGTTGAGGGACTTACCTGATTTCAAAATACATCACCAAAGAAGATATATGGATGACAAAATAAGCACATGAAAAGATGCTCAACATCATTACTCACTAGGGAAATGCAAATTAGAGGTACAGTGAGATATCACTGCACACCCTAATCACTAGATTGGCTAAAATTAAAAAGACTGATTATCTTTTCAATTTTAGAAAGTATTGGCAAGGATGTGGAACAACTGGAATCCTCATATACAACATGTTGGGAATGTAAAATGATACAACTATTTTGGAAAACAGTTTGGCCTTTTTTTAAAAAGCTAAATATATACCGTACCATATGATCCAGCTGTGCCACTCCTAGGAATTTACCCACAAAGACTTGTACATAAATATTCATAGTAGCATTATTTATAATAGGCTCAAACTGTAAACAACCCAAATGTCCATTAACATGTAAATGGAAAACAAATTGTGGTGTATTCACACAATGGAATACTACTCAGCAATAAGAAGGAATGAATGATTGATAACACTCAACAACATGGATGAATCTCAAAATAATTATTCTGAGTGAAAGAAGCCAGACCCCTCCCCAAATATATACTGTGTGATTCCATTGATATAAAATTCTAGAAAAGCCAAATTAGTGACAAAAAGCATACCAGTGGTTGCTTGGGGGGGTAGGGTGAAAAAGTAGGGGTGGAGGTGGGTGGGAGGGTGGTATCACAAAGGGACAAGAGGAAACTGGTGTATTGGATTTATTCATTTTCTTGATTATAGTGATGGTTTCACAGGTGTATAAATATGTCAAAACTTCTTAAATTTTATACTTTTATCATGCAGTTTATTGAATACCAATTATACCTCAATAAAGTTGGGAGAAAAGACATATCTATTTAAATTTTAAAAGGCCTTCTATTTCAGCCTAATCTGAGCCTTAGATTCAGGAGAATCACTCTACAGATTGCCTTCAATTTTATAAAATAGGGCCATTATTCCCTTTCAGACCTCATGGAGAGTGTAACGAGGATTGGACTATAGGAGAGACTACAAGATTAAAATTTAAAATTAGCATTAAATTAGTATTATTATTGACATCTCTAGATAGTGCTTGCTCATCTCTATAGCTTTTTTTCTTAATTTTGCACAAGCATAATGAATTAACTAGAACGTGAAACAGAATAAGACAGTAATAAGGATGATCTTAAAAGCAATAGTAGAAGAGATTAGAAATTCTCTCTGGAATTGGAGTTATGAAGTTTTTTTGTAGCAGGATAGGGAAACATTTATTTTTCTTATATTAAAAAAAAAAGTAGGAGGGGCCGGCTGAGTGGCGCGATGGTTAAGAACTGGCTTGGGACGCCAGGGGGCCCTGGTTCGGATCCCACATATGAGGGCCAGTGACACTGCCCTCCATAGCTAAGATGCTGAACAACAGCTCAACCTGGAGCTGGGCTGCCGGGAGTCGCCGGCGAGCGTAGGCTGCAGTCCCTGTGGCAGTGGGTTGCCATGGGCTACCGTATGTAGCCAGCAGCCAGCGTGAGCGGCCAGCAGCCACAGTGAGCGGCCGTCCAGAAGCCGGCGACTGATCTGCCTCGCCCAGGAAGAGCGCAATGATGGTGACAACTTGGGCTAGTGAAGCAACGTCCTCCACAACTAGACTGAAGAACAAAATGACAGCAACTCGTCTGTTTCCCTTCCCCCAATTCCCCAGCACTGTTCCCTTTCCCCCAATACCCCAATAAAAATCTTTAAAAAAAAAAAGTAGGAAAAATGTTTGTAGGAAAGCATAAATATAAATAAGAGTTGTGGAAGAAAAAAAACCTCTGACTTAATCCTTTTATAAGGAGGATCCTTTTGTAATTACTCTTGCAATTTGTAATGTGTATTCAGATTTTCATAATTTATGTAGATATTTTCCAGTTAAAACACAAATACTTCAATAAAATTGTAGTAAACACATCCCTGTAGTGAAGACCAGGAAAATTTGAGAGATTTTTGAAATGACATTTTTCTAGGAAAGTATGTCCAATGCCTCCTGCTCCTCTGTAAGGTCACTAAACATCTGTGACAAGACTGTGGGAATATGTGAGGAAGGCTTTTTAGTGGCTATGGGTTGTAAATATTTCTAATTTCCTGTTGTAATTCATAAAATCATAAAGTTGAAAGAACTGCCTAGTCCAACATTCTTCTTTTATAGATGAGGAAACTGAGATCCAAAGATGGGAAGTGATTCACTAGGGACTACAGAGAAAGTTAAGTAAACTGGGTTAGGATCCAGGTTTCCTGGCCACTACTCGCCTACTTTTCCTCATAATATATTACTGCGTATGATTTTATC